TTACCGAAGCAGTTAAAAAAACAGTGTTCGGTTGTGCAACGGGAACTTCCACTGAATTGTGTCTAGCAACACAAGCTTCGCTGGTTAGGCCACGTAGTGCGTATGTCAAACCATAGTTTGCCGAACAGTGCTGTTTTCCGTCCCATTTCAGAGTGGCGGATGCAGAGGTGGCGAACCTGTGGGCTGGCGGAGGGTATGAAAGAGGTTATGAAACGTCCTCTTTCAGGAAGGGGACCACGTGATCCTCATTGCGCTTGGTTCGAGAAACTGCAAGATATGGCTGCCAATCTAAGTCAACGGCATTCACATCGTCAGTTTCTATCCGTATGGCTTGAATGAGCGTCTGGAAGTGTAGGTACCTCGGAAGGATTGTAGTGAACTAGCAGTATGTTCCTTCATCGTCCACCTTTGTTCTTCACAATAAGGCTTCAAATAAATCATGGCTGTACGGCAGTGAAACATCAGTGTTGGACATTATTGTGGACATTATTGTCGTGCTAACCAGGAGGATGCGGATGATGACTCTTCCTTTTCTGCATTGTTCAGTTTCGGTTGTGCCATTCACATTGTGTGGAATATTCGAGTATGCATCCGCGGGAAAGACCCCCGTAACCTCCCGACACACATAGACATACACTTCGAACTAGTGAGACCACAGTGACGAGTCAGGTTGGCTGAAAGATCCCAAGCTTTTAACGATCTTACTAGGCCACTTAGATCCAAAAGGAGCGCACCAGTTTGACAGCTACGTACAGTTTTAACATCGTCGACAGCAGAACATTCAGTAAAACCTTTGCACGACCCGAAGGATGTAAATGTTATCGGTCGAATTTTAAGGGTGGCGAAGTGACCTTAAAGCTGGTCGGCCTAAAGCGTAAACCATATCACCATTGAGCGCTACGGTATTAGGTACACCAGCACACTGCGCTCAGCTAGGGGCACAGTATCGCTAAATAAATGAGGACTGTGGGATTGCTTTCATGATAGTACATACCTCGGTTCGAATGGGTGTTCGAAGGTTTAAAAGATCTGACAGACGAAGCACAGACAGCGCCAGGTGGAGGTCCAGTATCGACTGACTCTTGTAGGAAAGCAGTTATTACGGTAATCCAACCTTAAGTGTCGGTGGAAGTTTCCTGAGGTGAGATGCGTTCAGGAGGAAGCGAAAAGCACGCCACAACCTAGGCGTCATGAATAATGACGGCAGTTGTGGACAAGCAGTAGATCACACCACAGTAATAAAAAAACCGTTCGGCTGTAGCAACTGCCATGCCAAGCCAACACAGACAAGTCGAGAGGCACAGGTTGGATTCGAACTACGGCCTTTCTGGTCAGTAAATTCGCGCTCCACTGAGTCGTTTCGCCCACACCACAATGCTCCATAAACCACAGAATAAGCGAGGAAATTCGAGACGTCATTAATAAGATAGTCGCTATAGAGCAAAGTGAAACCATAAAATGCTAGTCCCCATAAGGCGCTGTACGCCAAATTGCGCGGACGCGTCAAGGTCTAAGGAAGCTCTCACCATTCCTATTGCAGCAGCGGAACTGAGACGCCTTCAGGTGTTCGACAATCGTTGTCTCAGAACCATAGCTCGTGTGGGTTGGTGTCGGCGAATCCGTAACAAGGCAGTTAGAAAGCGTGTTTTCGGATGTGTAACGGGTACTTCCATTGAAGAATGTGTCCAGCACCAGAAGATGCGTTGGTTGGGACATGTGTTACGTATGCCGAACCATCGTTTGCCGAAGAGAGTGCTGTTTTCCATGCCCAACTCAGAGGGGCGTAAACAGAGAGGTGGCCACCCCTTGACTTGGCAGAGGAGTATGAAGGAGATCACAAAACGCTTGGGTGCTGTCGGTGCTACTCGCCTTCCAGGATGGGGACCGCGTGATCCTCACTGTGCCTGGTTGGAGACACTACAAGATATGGCTGCCAACCGATGTCAGTAGCGTTCTTGTTGTCAGTTTCTATCCAGATTCCCTGAGTGAATGTCTGGAGGTGTAGGCACCTCGGAATGATTATGTTAAGCTAGCACTAAGTCCCTCCCCCATCCACCTTTATTCTTTTCTTTACAATAAGGCTTTCAAATAAGACATGGTTGTACGGCAGTGAAGCACCGGTGTTGAACACTGATGTCAAGCTGTCGATGATGATGATGAAGCTCTCACCTTAAGGGTTTCAAGCAAAGCTGTTCTCTTTCACCTTTCTTTTCCGGACTCGTCATTGATACGACTGTGGAACACTCAATCCCTTTCTCAAAGGCATGTAGGGTCAAAATGTACCCAGGGCATTCGCTCACAAATACTGAATACGCGCACTTAGCTCTTCTTGCATCTGACGCCACTGTAATGTAGACAACACAAAATAATCTAAATAATTCTACTTCATAGTTTGGTATGGGCTTCACACCACAAAGCGTAAAGTGTTGCTTCGAAACTGGGTGGACTCAAGCTCTAACCTTGCGGATGATCCGAGTGAGAATGTAGGCAAATATCTACCTGGACAGCTTTATCAATCCCGGTGGTATGGCTATAGACGACACTTACATCATGAACCTACATCACAAGTAGTGCAGACGTGACATCAAGGTTCGAGTTTACATTGCTGCAGTGCGCTCCATACTGTTATATAGGTCAGAAACCTGGCCGCTGTGCGCTGAGGACGTTAAAAACACTTCAGCGTTTGACCATCGATGTCTTCGGAGCAGTGTTCGGACATCGGACCAGCAGCGACGAAATAACTCAAATGGTCTTCAGAAGAAATAGCTCGTCCACAAAAGGGGAATCGATCCCACTGCATAAATTGTGCCGTATTGATCACGTGCTCCGCATGCCAGCCGATCGATATCCCCGAAGAGCTTCTTTCGCACAACCACGCAAAGCTGGAAATGAGCCAGGGGGCCAAACAATGACTTGGGAGCGAAAGATGATTCCCATCATAAAATTCAGCTTCGCTGGTCGGCGTCTCTCTGGATTGGGCCCCCCGAACTGGATACTAATTGACAGTAAACGGCATGACCGTCACACGCATGCATCTAAGTTGTTGCCTTCAACGCACTCACGACCTGTCCAGATCATTGGCTCACAAATTCGTGGCGGTTATAATTAATGCACGGTAAGTACATGGTTTTCGTACCTGAGGACGACAATCGGCGGAAGATTCCCGACGTGTTTGGAGTAGACGCTGATTGTCCTGTGTCAACTGTTCAGTATCATGCGTAAAGATAATATCAAACTTGCAAGGTAGAACTTGAGAGGACAAGCTAAGACCGGACTGCGGCCAGCACAGTGAGGATGCCTTCAGAACACCTATATAAATTACACCAATGCCCTTCCTAGGATGAGTAGCCAACCTCCAAACAAATTCGTCAGACACGATTTCTTCGACCGGACTGATTGGAAAATGATTTTCTTCCAAGAAAGCCATGAGCTGCCTTGTCATCAGAGAGAAAGAGATTCAGCTGGATTCTAAGTGAGTCTCGCAAAATCAAATTTGATTGTAAGAGCCTCTAAAACTTTTTAAAAAAATAGTGACAATAACGTCATTGGTCCAGTATCCCCATTCTCAGGACCGTCCACCGTTGCGTCATCACCATCATCACTAATAGCAACATCGAAGGGGACACTGGTGCTTCACCACTGCGAAACCGAGTCAATTTACTTATCTGGGTTATTGAATAGTTTTGAAGGTCGACTTCCACACCATCAGCTGGCGTATTTGGGGGGGGGGCAGTGGTGAGAGAGCTCATTTACTGGCTGGAAGGTCCGCGACTCGAACCCGACCTCTGCCTCTCGACTACCCGTCTGAGCTTGGGTAACCTAGAACTAGCCTGGCCCACGATCCTCCTTCAGGTGGCATGACAGTTAAGCATCGAAAGGGTACTATAGCTAAACGATTTTGTGCTTGGGCAGCTTAATAGTAACCTACTCCTCATGCTTTCTTCGGATGTCATGGGGGCTAGACAAGGTAATGGTATTGCAGCTGAGCGATAGAGTTCAAGTAGAAGGGTTTTCTACGCATGTTGGTTAAACTGTGCTATTGAAAGCCTCGTGCAGGTCAAAGGATACCAGTTTGCACAGACATCACATTCGAGGCCTGTTTAGCTTCCTTCCAACTAGGGCAGCTATCCGAGGCTATGGTTTGCTTTGGCATTTTTTCTTCAATGCGGCGATTTACGGACGCTTGTCTCCATTGTGGACTTGGACAAATAAAGGCCGTAAGAACAAAGAAGACTCAGTTGTCCTCTACCGCGGGCGGACTGGAGACCATAAGGTGGATAAGCCGTTTCCGCACAGATAAGCGCCCTCCAAACTCCGACAGCGGTGCAAACGTGTTCGCCACGCAAGTGCAGTGATAAAGTTTGGAATGTCCTCCGTGGGATCTAGGTACATTTTCCACCATAAAATTCGACAACCGGAAGGACTGTCCGAAATAAACAGAACAAGCTCTGAAAAGGTGCAAGCCGCTTGCGTTTAGCCAGAGTCGCACGGTTGAGCAGCCCGATTGAGTGCAGCATGCAAATCGGCTGGAAACCATAGAAGCCAATAGTTTAGCATACGTAATCGGCATGTTTCACACATAAAACAATCAGCATTCTTCGACCGATTTTGTATAAGTTACAGCTAAGAGATCATCGCTCTGGGCTGTACTCCTATGTGCGAATTTCGGCAGCCGGGAAATAAGGGAGCTCCCAAGGATCTCCGAAGTCTATACGATGGCGATGAGCGGTCGTGAAATACTGTTTCTAGCTGTATCACAGATGCATTCACAGTCCCATAGCCGGGGAAAACAAAAATGTTAACCAAGGTCGCATAATACACAGGGAAGGTAGAATAAAATGTGCACCGCACCTCCGTTCCGTGGTACTTTGCTAAGGAACTGCTATAAGAAGCTGGGTCAGGTGCGATGTTTTAGACATTCACTTCACTTTTGAATGTCTGCATTTAAATGACCTGTCAAAAACCGGAACCATCGCGGTTAAAAAGAATAGGGGACACAAATGCGCAAAAACGAAACTGTTTTTGGATGTACCGCCGGCGTTCAGTTCATAGTCGGCCACTTGCGGTCTAGACCGGGGAACTGGTTCACGGATTCACGGATTGATACACAGGATCGAGGCTTTTGCCCAAGTTTCCCGGGTCGGTTTTGTTCTTGTCGGTCAGTAGCTGTCGTTCACCTGAAAGGCACAAGCGAAAAAAGGGTGTAGCACTGCTCTTTATGTTCTCAGCGCGGGGCAGTA